CAGACTTGATAGTGGACAGACGATGGGCAATGACGATGGTGGTACGGCCTTCAGCAGCGCGATCGAGTGCTGCCTGGACAACACCCTCGGACTTCGTATCCAGGGCTGAAGTGGCTTCGTCCAGAAGCAAAATCTTGGGGTCGCTGACCATAGCACGAGCGATGGCAATACGTTGCTTCTGGCCGCCAGACAGCAAGAATCCACGCTGGCCGACGTTGGTCTCATAACCTTCCGGAAGAGTAGTAATGAATTCGTGAGCGTTGGCCATCTTGGCGGCATTCTCAATAAGCTCCTTGATCTTTTCCTCTGACTCATGTTCGAAGCGTGTTCCAATCAGGCCGTGGCGAATATTTTGATAGATGGTTGTGCCAAACAGAACAGGTTCCTGGCTGACCAGGGAGATCTGCTGCCGTAGCCATCGCAAGTTGAGAGTCTGGATGTCGTGGCCGTCCAAGAACACTTGACCACCGACTGGGATATAGAACCGCTCGACAAGACCGACGACGGTGCTCTTGCCAGAACCTGAAGGACCGACCAATGCGGTGGTCTTACCAGCAGGAATGGCGAGGGAAACCTCATTCATGACAGTAACTTCGGGACGGGAGGGGTAGATGTGTTTCACATTGCGAAACTCGATGTGACCCTCGACGTGGTCAAGGATGATGCCTTCGTCCGAAGTAGGGTCTAGCGGGGAGTTACGGTCGATAGTCGCAAAGATTTTGGTAGCGGCCGCCACAGCATTGGTAAAGGCCGACGCGTTCGGGCTGACATTGCCCAGGGAGAAAGAACCGATAAGAATAGCCATCAAGATGGTCAAAACTTGTCCGACATCAACCTTACCATCCACCAGGAATTGGGATCCCATCCAGAATCCGAGGCCGTAGTTCATGAACATGAGTCCAAACATGATACCGACCATCACGGCTAGACTCATTTGGAGGCGCATGCCCCAGCGCTCTGCGCGAAGCAAGTGAGACTCGTACTGCTTTGCGAGCTTGTCCTGGGTACCGAATGCGGTCGCATTGCGGATCGAGCTGATGACTTCCTCCGCCACAGTTCCACCGGCACCGGCACTTTCCAGGGAAAGCTTGCCAAACTTGATGATCAGTTGGGAGCCTCCGCCCATGATGAGGACCAGCGCGACCATAGTCGAAGTACATATGCCAGCCAAGGGGGCATACTTGATGTATGCAACGATGAAAGCAGTCACGAAGGTAGCAATGGCAGTAAGGGTTAAACCGACCTTTTCGGAGACACCATCCTGAATAAGGTTGGTGTCAGCCGTGATGCGGGTAGTCACTTCACCTGCACCAAGCTTGTCGAAGTAGGCGATGTTCTGACGTAGGATGGCTTCGAGGTAGTGCTCTCGAATCTTCTGGGTGACATGCTCTCCTGTATAGATGAAACCAACGGTGCTGACGTAGACAGTGACGAATTCACCGATGCCGAGATAGATGAAGTACAACACGTTGGTGGTCAATTGATCGTAGAATTCATCGTAGGGGATAGTGCGGAGCATAATCTTTTGGAAAGCCGTGGCCAAGGAGCCGAAGAGAATAGTGAAGAGAGGCAAGGCAGCACCGGCGGCGATGGCGCAGAGTGTGCTGATGACAATGATGAGTATGTCTATGCGGGAGGCATATCGATAGAGACCGAAGTAAGAGATATTGACAAGAGGCGCATCTAACTGTTGTTTCAAGATGTCCTTTTCATGCTCAGGCAAGTGAGCATAGAGCGCATCTTCGTCTGACGCGACTGGAGTCTTGCTTTCGTGTTCCTTTGCTGTTGCTGTGGAAGCGGAATCGGAATCACGTTTGTCGACGGGCTTCTCGTTAAGCTGAGGGTCCTCGGCCACCTTCTCAACGGCCGTCACGCCCTCCTGGGGCTGTTGCATGTTGAAGCTTTTTGGGTTTGAATCTCTACTCCATGAAGAACTTGGAAGATGAGGATTTGATCTGAAGAGGTGAGACGTGAAGAGATGAATCAAGCACAAAGAAGAGATATTAGAGATATTAAGGGATATGAGAGTATTAGATTAAGAAGAGTAAAGATTAACGAAAGGGATGAAGGGAGGAGTGAGATCTAAGAGCTGTCTGAGATTATACTTACTTTAGGAGGGGGCTTATTTTTTTTTGGGCGGGGTCGGGTAGTCCGAACTCCGACATGTCTTTATGCAATTTATAACATTTACGATATTTACGATATTTACTATATCACCGAGTGCTGCCTAGATCCTAACTTGGTCTTATCTCTCTATTCCATCGTGTTCCCCGTACTTCGTACAGAGTGCTAATCTGTTTATATTGTATACAGAGGCTGGACATTCCTTATGTACCTTCACATTCCTCGTGCAAGGGCATCCCTCGAACGCGGCCCCTTTCTAGGAAACACAAAACACGATTTGCTTCTTTATGTTGTACTTTATGCTTGATGCAGGTCCAGTATGGGACATGCATGCATGTGGCACTTCGTACACTTAGTACATTCTGTGACCTTAACCACACATATCTAGGGGACAACACGAAACACATCATCATGACGCGAAACACGAGAACGAATACGGATGTACTGAGTCATAATCCACATACCTACCTAAGGTACCTAGATAGGTACTAGTATAGGATTTCGTCCGAATTTTGATCCGCTAAGAAGATCTGGACCGATTCCACTTTTTTTATGCGTCGGGGAGTTTCATGTCCGATGTCCGACATTCGACGCTTTGACTGCTCCCTTTTGCCTCCTTTTGCCTATTTCGTACAAGTTGATTACCAAGGTACTTCCAACCTTGGTTGCTGAGGTCTGAGTAACGTAAACAGCACCTTCCTTAGACCTTAAGGTTGGGGGTGCGACGTTGACCTCTTTTGTCTGACGTCGGGTAGATCTATACCATATGTGAATTTGTGATTAGAACCAACATACGTTCGAATTAAGGGATTATTTTGGAATTGTCAAATCTATACCTTTTTCGTCCATGTCGTACTAGACCTCCTAGTTCGCCACGTTTATAATGCAACCATATACTATAGAGGGAAAATATAAGCTCAAATTAAAATGGCGTCGCCTACAGATACTACGAATGACCGTATCTCTCTTTGCCTAAAATCAAGCTTCCTAGCCAAGTCGAAGATCTTCAAACTGTGTCATGTTCCGCGATCCCGAAGGCATGAAATAATCTTGCCTGAATTCCGTTTGGCGGTTCTTTTTCCATCTCCTTGTGACTGACCATGGGTGTTTCTATTTTCCTTTTCTTGGCTCTTGGCTCTTTCCTTTCTTGGTAATCATAGGGCTGAAGGAATTCGGGGAGACGAATGGCCTTGTCATGCCCTACTAGTTGGCCTTTATCGCAGCAGCGAACACTTCGGACGCCTCGAAATCGATTATCTCATACTCTAGGACTACACCCTCTCTTTTGGTACATGGACCATCACTACCACGCTATATTATCGCTAGGTAGCTAGTAGCTGCCCGGTAATTTTCTCCGGGGCTATGTAGCAATATTACTGCTGAGAGTTGATATGTACGCAATGAATTGAATAGCGCCTGGCCTTGAAACCCAGCCTTGGAATGAAGGAGGTGACCAGAGATAGTCATGGATTTTGTCCAAGGAGAGGAAGAGACATATCTATCCCCGAATCGACGCAAAATGTCACCGGCTTGATTCACTATCTAGCTTTTGTCCTCCACAATTCCATGAACCACTCTGCAAATCGAGGGTAACCGCGTTCTTCGAGTTTCATTCTGAGTCGCTTTCTCCATTCAACTTCATCGAGGCCTGGAATTGGCGGATGAAAGTTCAGCCCCCGAGAAACAGAAGGCTTTGTTAAGATCCAAAAATGTGGATAAAACCCAGTGGGCCCCCAGTCGATAATCGCCGACAGCTTTTGATTTTGAGTAGAAACAAGTATGTTTCCTAGTCCCAGGTCAGGATGGTAGAGATAGAACCTCTCTTCAATCGCTGGGTTTAGATAAAGGTCTTCCCGAAAGAGATATCCCCTACTCTCAGACATAGTTAACGGCTCTAATGAATCTCGTCCCGAGTGAGCAAGGTAAGGTTCCAATACCGGGCCTCCATATACATTCTAGAGTCGGTTAGAAGTAATAGATGCGAGTATGTCGCATATTGAAACAACCTCATCTAAGATAGAATCTTGTTCGGTAGCGGACATAGTTCCCTAAGCGTCTCTCAGTGTTATATCCGGAACTCTTTTCAACACCAAGAATGTTCGATTTCCGTCCACCTAGGAATCGACCACTTTAGGCACAAGCACTTAGGAGCGTTTTCTTAACGAATTTGATGGTTTCGCTCTCCGAAGTGGTATCGGAACTCTAGCGGTGGACTTTGCAGATGGCACTGTTTCCAATAGCCCATACTGCTGATAGGGTACCTCTTTTATGGGTCAAACGGACCCCGTGCGAATTTGCAGGCGTGGCATCGGGTGGTTGCTCGGATGTTGTATGCCGAAGGATATACCAATCTTTTCCGTCTTTCCAGGCAGCTGCACATGTGTCGTCTGGTTCCGCAATTCGATTGCACTCGATTGTGCAGCCAAGGCGCCAAGTGGGATGATAAATTTGGGTAACAGAATTCCGAATAGGAACTGATGCTGACATGGTTTGAGTCAATTGGATAAATGTTGGGTACTATTGACTGGCTTTGAGTGTAGTAATAAAGTTGAGGCCCTTGAGGTTGGGATGCAATGTGAAGCATTTGGTCGAGGCATGCCCGATGGCACGGACACATGCAGCTAGAAGTTGTGATCTCAACGATTTTCCAAGGATGTGACAAGGTGCCCAAGGCATTCGCGCGTCAAGCGAGCATCACGTTGATTGGCTCATTCATGTCTGAGTCCTCAAGCAAACCCATGCTTCCATTTTCCTATTTCCCGGTGACCACCGCACTAAATTCATTATCTAAACAAACCAGGTTTCCCAAGTAACCGCCTAAGGAGATTCAACAATCATTCCTGCTTAGCAGCCCTTCCGTATACGAAATAGATCCAATGACCTGGATGCGTCCACTTTCCGATGTATGTGACGCTTCCTTGGTTAAGTACTGTTTACTAACATTCTCATCTACAGCCCCACAGCCGGGACCTAGAGGGAGACTTCCTACTAGATGGAAAGGATCTTGACTCCGTCACAGACAAGACCCTGGCAATACTTCTTGAATCTGCCCCTGTTCTCCACCGGCTTGGCGCCACAAAAGTTGTGCGGCTCTCACGAAATCTGGTAATGAAAGGCGGCGGTAGCGTCCTGCCTTGCGAAGCAAAGACACTCAATCTCGTCGCCTCCAGAACCGGCATTCGAGCTCCACGAGTCCACCGTTCATTTCAAGTCGAAGACGACACGCAATATTTTGGTACGAAGGGATATATCGTGATGGATTTTATCCCAGGCCAACCTCTCGATAAGTGTTGGGCCGACCTAACATCCGACAACCAAAGGCAAATCGCTATACAGATTGCGGAAATGATCAAAGAAATGCAGTCTGTTGTAATCTCACAGCCAGGTCCTCTTGGGGGCGGGCCATTTTGTGGCCGATTCTTCACAGATTATAGCGCCGGTCCGTTTAAGGACAGTGCTGAACTTCAAGGTTGGTTCAACCACAAGCTTGATATCTGTAAGCATGTGAACCAATGTCCCAAAGATATCCCGCCATTTCAATTTACCACCTTTGTTCTCACTCATCAGGACATAAGTCCTCGAAACTTGATCTTAGACCAGAATGGGGAGGTATGGCTGGTTGACTGGGCGTTTGCCGGTGCATATCCCCCTGCCTTTGAAAGTGCTGCGCTATTAGCTCAGCAGTTCTTTACTGGCTTTAATGAAGCAGTCTTTTCTCTTATCCCACGCTTCCCTGAGGAAGAACGACAACTTGATTCCATTACATATGGGTTGATTACTGCGGCATTGGCCTGATGAAATCTTACATGATCTGTGTATTTGTGCTTTTGTTAATGATCTTTGAAATTTCTACGGTAATTGATAGCGGCTTGGGCAGGTTATTCACGGCTTACGAGGTTCCGAATCAACCTTGGAAGGCCTCCAGGGCTAGCTTGCTTATACGGCAGTACAAAACAGGACATTGCAGGACGCAAGGCTGCATTGTACCTCGACTGTTTCTGACGATCCTGATAGCCACCAAAGGTAAGCACTATTCTAAAAGAGGGATCAGAGTATATCTATGGATGTACATCGTATACCAGACTGTATAGTCGTAACGTATTACTTGCATAATGGCACCTGAACAGTGTGAGCGCATACGGACACTCGTAGACTGTTGACCCACTTTGCTGAAATTGTTTCTGCCGTGACACCTTACATCCTTAGGCATAAATTCCACATCACCTGACCCAACCGAAGCGAAGCCAAGCCCTGCCGCACACAAACCATCCACACTCGAAGGTCGATAACTTCATCCGTCCATCCAACAAGCTCGCCGTCGCGATCAACCCTTCAAGATGCCGGTATGTTAGCACCCTGTTCCCGCCATTCTCGAAAAATACATTCGCCATCGTCGCCGTCTCCCACCCCAGTCAGACCTCTGAAAAATCGAGAAACAAAATCTTAACCCGTCATTTTCCACACAGAGCCACAAGACCTTCCGCACCAAGCAAAAGCTTGCCAAAGCTCAGCGTCAGAACCGCCCCATCCCCCCAGTGGATCCGTCTGCGCACCAACAACACCATCAGGTAAATCGCACTTTTGTTTTCGAGATCCAAAATCCATCTTTATATCCGAGTCCGCCATTTGTGGGAAGAGTGATACGGAAACGCGAGAGAGGAAAGGGAAACGCACATAACCATCCACCCGCCGACCGCACGAACCCAACAATGGAGGAAAAGAGATACAGGAATTACATCGAATCGAACATATGGCTGATACACTGCTGAAACAGATACAACGCCAAGCGCCGTCACTGGCGTAAGTCGACCCTGAAGGTCTAAGCGGACCCTCAGTATTCGCACCCTCCGCCCGGCCATTCTCAAAAGCCCCAATTCAGCTCGCGATGTCATATGGCAACCGAAGTGTGTCTGTGCGGGGTGGTTCAAGGGTTTTTGATGATTTCGAAACCCTCTTCATGATGTGACGCCCACAACCGAATTTCGAACAACATGCCTTGACCATGAACTTGAGAGCGCTAGTGGATGTGGAACTACTCTTGAGTGCAATTGCAAACAAAAAAATTCAATTATCAAATCTTGATCCGGGTCTTGCTTTGGGTCGTGCCTATCTTTTTTTTTTTCTTAATCTTCCAATGGGTCGTCATTTTTTTCCTCCACGGTTCCGAGTGGGGGGATATGATGGATTTCCAACACGCCCTTGTTATCCATATGCATGACAGGCCCGGATTATGTTTGCAAAAGGGTTTGTTGCTGTTGAGGGCTGATCGTCTTCTTGCTGGGGGCGGGCTTGTAGGACTGGCATGGCGGGGGATTTTCTTTTTTGATACAAAATCTGATTGAATCGAATTGAATATCCTTTTGCCTACTTTTTGGGATGGTCTTGATGGCCGTAGATTTTGATCCGGGCGTTGCATGGGAATTCCCATACTGTTATGTTCCTGATTTGTGGTACTACTGTTCGTATTACACTTTGTAGTACTCCGTGCAGCTTTGAATCTGCGTTTATATGCCACATGGTAACTATGTTGTCGGGTTATTTTTACGACTTGGCGCCTGTCGTCATAGTAAAAATATGACGGTTTTATGACCCCGCTAACTATATACTACTGGATTCAGAAGGATTCTGTAACAGATGTCATTGCCAGGCTAGCGATTTTTTTCCAAATCGAATCGAATAACCACGGAAGGAAAATAGCAAGAATAAACGCCCCAAAAGATAATCACCCTACTAGACATGAAGGGCTACGCTGCACATTGTCGTAAACAGCCGGGAGGATATCATTTTCTGTTTTAAAAAAAAAGAGACAGACAAGAAATCATCATTTAGCGACTAAAGCAGAAATGTCAGCATAGGTTCTATCCACGGATACTGTTGAAGCAACTTACTCCTCAGCCCACTCGTTCTCGCGGCGGATCTGGTCTTCCTCCTCAGGAGTGAAATCGTTCTGGATGTTGAAGGTCTTGCGGATCTCCTCCGGGGACTTTCCCTTGATCATGTTAGCGACGGTCTTGCAGCCGACGTCAAGGAGGGCCTTGATATCCAAGTAGTTGGCAGCCTAGGAGCAGTCAGTATATGCGTCGAAGAGCGAGTCTAAAACGAAACGTACAAGGATGATCTCGAAGAGCATCTCCTGGTCCACCTGCATGAATTTCTGGTCCCACTCGTCAATATCGGTGGTCTTGCGACGGTTGTCGTCATCATCGCTGGCGCTTGGGGGGTCGTGCTTGTGGTGTTCGCACCACTCGATGACCTTCTTGAGGACGGCTTCGTTAACCTGAACAAAGAGGTGTCAGCGTTTCATCCTGGATGCCAACTATTTCGGTGTGAGCAACTCACGTTGGGGATGGGGATAGCCTCTCCAGAATCACCAAGATCCTCGAGCATGTTCTTGATCAGGACGGAGCGCTCAGCAGTGGTGCGCTCTATTCAGAATCTGTCAGTGCCACTCACGACAGCCTGCTGTGTGGAAGTTATCCTTACCGACAGAAATATCAACTCCATCGGAGCTGGTGAGGGTGATGGAGCTCATGGTATCGATGTTGAAGATGGAATCTAACGTTCAGGTGATGTTAGCTTTGCTAGTTTCGAATAGTGCGGGGTGGCCGCAACGGCGGGGACGTTACTCACGTAAAGGGGGGATGTGTATATCTCTTGTGAATCTAAAATCGTCTTCAGAGTTGGTATATCTGAAGAGAGAGACGAACGTTGAAAATGACGAGGATGTAAACGAGTAGATGGCGGGTGGTGAGGTTGAAGAGAGTCTGAGTTACCAAAGGCGGTCGCGGGTATCATTCAACAAGGCAAAGTCAGCCCCCACGCCTTAATTCTTACTAGTACAGTTGCCTAAATTATACAATCCATGGATATTTGTTGACTCATTCTTTCACTTCAAAGAAACGAGAATCTGACCAGAAACATACTAGCAATCTACTAGCTTGAGGACCAACAGTTGGGGACCTAGGGTACTGCCTGCAAGCAGCCCTGGCTTAACTCCGTACTAAGCCAGAAGCAACAGCGGCCGATTACATATGTAAGTTCTAGCAATGGCGAAAAAACAAGAATCCGGACTTGAAGAAACTGCAGAATTGCAACTAGGTCATTTTGGGAAAACTGAATAATTCCAAGGTGGATGTTCTGGTATATTCTTTGTAAGATTGTCGATCTATCAACTATGGTATGTTAGGGTATGGAGTATAGGAGATCTATACGAAATCCAGGCATATCAATCACATTAACAAGTATTTTGTTGTATACATCCATATGTACAATGTATGTAGGAACTAGATTCTACCGGAGTACTATAGAGTATAACATAGATCTGTTGAATTCCCAACTCTTCAATTCAATTTCTCAATTTACCGCTTAACGCGAGACCGGTGATATCATCGTCCAATACGCGTTTTAGTTTACTTTTCTCCCCATCCCCCTCTCCCTGCTATCGTTTCATTCTGTTCTTTACCTTCATTCTTTATTTCTTTTATTTCTAATAATGTTCCTTTTTCTACAACCATGTGGCGTCGAACATATCTACTGTTATTAGTGATTCGCGTGTACTTCGCGCTGTCACCAAGCTATCTACATCCCGATGAGAATTTCCAAGGTCCAGAGCTCTTTGCAGGTGTGTTCAACAATCCAATGATCGCCTGACAAATCGCGATCATGCCGCGACTACAAAAACGCGTGGAAATCTTTGTTGCGATTTTCCCAGCAAAAAGAAAAAGCGCGATCCGGCTGTCCCGCGATTCCCCTATACGAAGGGGGAAAAAATATTGACCAAATCACCAAAATACAGGTCGCATATTCTCATTTCCTTCAAAGCTACCATGGGAGTTTACCGTTGAGCATCCCATCCGCAGCATATTCCCATTATGGGCGACCTACGAGCTTCCAATGAGCCTCTTGAAATGGTTCTATACTGAAATCGGGTCGGGCAGTCCCCCACCCCACTTGGTCTACTATGCGCTGCGCGGTGGAATGTTCTTATTGAGTTTTGTGCTGGAGGACTGGGCGATCTATGAGCTAGTGCCTTCCCCGCGTCATCGGCGCGCAATAGTGGTGCTGGTGGCCTCGTCCTATGTCACCTGGACATATCAGACGCACACATTCTCCAACAGCCTCGAGACCCTGTTGGTTGCCTGGGGGTTGGTTCTGATTCGGCGCATTGTCGAGAATAAGGTGCGAAGAGATAAAGCTTCAAAATACACTATTCACGCTGACTTAACTCCCAGCGACACTCGTCCTTCTTCTCCCACGCCGTGCTCGCCTTCATCGCCGTGGTGGGCGTCTTCAACCGCATCACCTTCCCGGCTTTCCTTCTATTCCCGGGTCTGCAATTGCTGCCTCAGTTCCAGCGCAAGTGCGTCAATTTACATACACTTCGCCTCCAACTCACTCATACACATGTACTAACCCCGCATTCGCACCAGACCACTCTCCCTCGCAGCATTCCTCCTCTTCGGTCTCCTCTTTTCCTTCATCGCAGTCTACACAGACACAACCTTCTATCGGCCGACAGCCTCCCTCCTCAGCACCCTCCGCGATCCCATAATAACTCCGCTCAATAACCTCCTCTACAACACCGACACGTCCAACCTAGCCCAGCACGGCCTCCACCCCCGCCATCAACACTTCACCGCAAACCTCCTCCAACTCCTCGGTCCAGTGTACATAACCATGCTAGTCTCCCTCTTCAGCTGGCCACCGGTGCCATACTGGATGCGCAATGTGCGGGCCCTCTCCGCGCTCTCCGCAACCATGCTCCTCTCCCTCTTCCCACACCAAGAACCACGCTTCCTCCTCCCAGCCGTACCCCTTCTCCTCAGCTGCGTCCCCATGCGCCGCTCGCGTCTCCTTCTCACCGTGTGGGTCATCTTCAATGCAGCCATGGGCTTCCTCATGGGTGTGTACCACCAAGGCGGCGTGGTCCCCACGCAGCTAGCAATGCGCGACATCGTCTCGTCTAGCACAACACACCACATACCTTCCGCAACGGTCTTCTGGTGGAAGACATACTCACCGCCGCTGTGGCTTCTCGGCGGAGACAACCAGACCACAGAGATCCAAACGCTAGATCTCATGGGCATGTCCGGTGCGGAGATGATGCTGCAGCTGGAGAAGGTTGTACCCGGCTGCTCTACTCCATCGCCTGTGTTCCTGGTTGCGCCTACATCGGCTGCATTCCTCGATCCATACGCTGTGTCCGCGCGTCAGAGCCGAGACCAGAACTTGCAACTTCATCCACTTTGGTCGTACCGCAAACACCTTAACCTCGATGACATGGACTTCGGCGAAGACGGGATCCTGCCGACTCTGAAACGGGTCGTTGGGCGCCGCGGGTTGGGTGTTTGGTCTGTGCGGAGATCTTGCAAATAGTCTTCTTTTTCTGTTTCTGCTTGTTCATGGATGCATTCTATTCATGGATGGGACGTTGTATTTTGTTCATATTCTGTATTTGGGAACTACATTCTCATTTAGATTTGGACTGCAATCTCCCTTTTTCTTTTCTTTTCTCTGGATATTTTCGGTGCATGTTAGGGCTACTGGGTCCATAAGATACCTTTTGCATTGGCGGTGGGCGTGAATCGAGTTGATATCTTTGGGGCTCTAGTCTACTTGTACTTACCTCTACCTGTAAGTAGTACTATGTCCAATTTATTGATACGTTGGCTTTTTTTCATTCCCATCTAGACTGGTCAGCTGGGTTGTAGTCAGGGGCACCACTACCCTGTTCGAATAGCTACGATGCATGGACCTATCATACCGAGACAAGACAAAAAAGGACTAAAAGGCCATTCAAAGAGACAACCTGATAAGGGGCGATAAGGGCTATATACCTGTGGACATCAAGTCGACCTAAGTCGGGGCACATAGTAAATGCTGTGTGAGGATATATATTTCTGACGATTTGGGCGGTCCTCGCGGTTCCAAGTCCTAGGATATAAACTTCTCCAATCATGCGGATACATACATTCCAACCATCCGGTCATCTGCACATCTGTCTACCTGCATATAAAATACGCATGACCAATGAAAAAAAATCACATGGCAGATGACCAGATCGAAGATCGCCACTTATCCCAACAGTCCTACACAATTACTCACGTACACTATATGCAGCGAACAGGTCCCATTTTGCCCATTAAGGTAGATACATAACAGGCGTTTTGGGGAGAGGGAACAGCGGGATGCGAAGAAGCCAAGTACAAACTCAGAGACGCCAAGCTGAGTACTGAGTCGTATTCATGGGAAGGGATCCGGCGTGAGGAGAGATGGGAATCAATTCAAACAGCAGCATGCTTGGTATTCATCATAGAACATAACGTTAAGAGGAGGGGAAGTAGGGGAGGAAGAAAAGAAGTCGAGGGAGAACATATAGTTCTTTACTGCTCATCCTCGTCCGGCTGGTCGAAGAGGAAGTTGGCGGCGAGCTCCTCGTTCTTGTCGCAGGCGAAGTAGGCCTGGATGACGGAGTCGCGGGGGAAGCCCAGACGGCATAGCTAGTTGTAAGTCAGTTATCAAACCCATGAGATAGAGGGGAAATTTCAACATACACGCTCAATGGCATCGCGCTCTTCTTCCGTAACAGAAATGGCTTGGGCGCCAGGTGGCAAAGCACCCTCCTCGTCCTCGAGTTCCTCGCCCAGAAGCTGCAAAAATTGATCGGAGTTTTGTCCGATGATTGACGCAATCTGAGGATTCCCAGCGGCGACCTGTTGCAGGATAGGCTCGAGCATATGAGGCTGCTGTTGAACAAGCTGACGAAGCTGTTGGAAATGGGGGTTGCTGCGGAGGAACTCCAGGCTGCCAAGGGCTTCACCACCAGCGGCACCGGCACCAGCGGCACCGCGAGGTCGGCCACCTTCACCACCGGCCTGAGCGGCAGCTTCGAAGAGGTTGAGGTGAGGCTCATCGCCACCGGAAGGGGCAGCAGGAGCAGCAGGAGCGGCGCCGGTAGGGGCTGTCTCTGAGGCTTGTCGCTGTTGTTGTTGCTGTTCCTGGATGTTATCGGGGATACCCTGTCGTAATCATTAGCAAAGATTCAATGTGTAGTTTCTAATAAAATCTTACCGTCAGAAGGTATTCGATTGCACGGTCAGGGTTGTAGAATGCGGCGCGCATGGCACGGTCGATATCAGTGCGTGCGAATCCCATTGCCTCCATCTGGACAACCGCTCCCTCAGCGGCAGGGCCCATGGTGAGAGCGGAAGGATCTCCGAAGGCGGGACCGCTCGATGGAGCCGGAGCTGCACCGGCCGGGAGGGGGTCGCGGGAGCGACAGAAGGGGGAGGAGCAGCGGCAGCATGAGGAGCTGGGGGTGCAGCGGGTGTTGACACAGGAGCTCGGGCAGCCGGGGTCGAGGGAACTTGCGAGGGAGCGGTGGACGCGGCGGCCTTGGGTTGCTGAACATCAATCCATCAGTTTTGGCTCGGTCATCACAGAAGTCATAGACAAGGCTTGTCTCATACCTTTGAAGGCAAGCACACTAGGAAATCTTTCTCTTGGATGTTGTAAGATTCGACCGTCTTATCATCCTGAAGGATCTTTCCTACAATGAGAAAAAAAAAGCGAGGGTTAGCCACGGCATCGTGGATGGATAATCCGTCCATCAAGGGAGAAAACACGAACCGGAGTAGATGACCTTCATGCGCTCTGCCTCATATTCGCCTTTCTCTTGGGCGATTTTGACCTTGACCTCGCGAACCTAAAAAGATGAGCCCCGCACTCGATGACGCTGGCTAGTTGTAGCGAAAGGGAACGAACGTACAGTCTCAGAAGGTTCGACATCGATGACAAACTTCTCCTGCTTCAGGTCCTGTGATCGACAACTTGTCAGCAGTCTGTGGCAATGGGGACCCCAAGAGCAGGTTTTCGTACCTTGAAAGTGAGCTTCATTTTGCCGCTTTGGGGTAAAACCAGAGAGAAAAAGGGCAGGGAGAAAAGATGGTGAATTGATATAGGAGAAAGGGGGAGTAGTTATTGCAAAGGATCCTCTCAGCGATGAAGTCGAAGAAAAGTCGAAGAGAAGGAAAAGAAAGTAGGAGGGGAGCATTCAGAGTGACGATGATAGCAAACGAGTGCGGTGACCGCCTTCGGATTTACTTCCACTACTCAGCTTTTGATCAGGACAACTTCCTGCTACATTGTAGGGCAACTTTTTCAAATCTGATGATATTAACAGGCTATTATTGTTCTTCTCGTGCACACCTTTCTTACTCTCTCTCCATGTGGTGCACATATGCACATAGAATAATTCAGGTCTACCCCATTTGATTCCAAGCTGGTTGCCTGTTGGCCGCCTCGATGACAACATCCCAGGCTGACATCGAGAGTCAATAGGTTGGAGATGCAGATCTATACCCCAACTTAGTTCCAATGACATTGAAGGCTTTTCTAGCATGAATACTCGGCTCTTTGGACTCCTATATAACACAGTATTGCGCCACTATTGCCTCTCGAGTAAGTAGCACGGACATTGGTACAGTGCATATTGTACCCACATGGAAAAGGATACATATGAAAAATCCACAAGACACACGAAATCTATTAAATTCATTTGACAAATACTCAATTGAATGCGACAGACCTCTTCCGGGAAAGAAATTGACCGAAACACAGGTAGACAATCCAACCTGTATACTCCATACTTCCTGCAAGACAGGTCATAGTATCCAGTCTGTGCCTCTGTAACTACGGAGTACGGGAATATGGATCTATAAAATCTAACAAAGTACAATTTTGAATTTGCCTAGACTCACTACACTTAGCTTAGTCTGATCCAACCGAGATCCAGGGAACGCGGAGATTTCCTCTCGCAAGGGAGAGAGATACATCACATCCGGCCCGCACTATTGAGATCGAGAGATGATCCGCCTGTTCGCAAGACTGATGGATCAGATTAAATAGTGCCATTGTTAGTGGGAGTAACCAAACTATCGGATTTCTACTCTGCAGGACGGTCTGGAGGGCCCCTACCCCAGAATTAGGCGCGAAATACGGCAATTGCAAATATTCACACACATTATGCATACTCCACCGGCGTCTCTCTACTTCAGCCAATCGACCCAATCCTTATCAAGCCAATTCTTATCGACAAAGTCTAACTATCATACTGGAATGATGCATCAGGCCGATCTCTTTTGGGGGTAAAAAAAAAGAAATTGACAGGTTAAGACTGACTGCTTCCCCGATATACTTTGAGCCACACTTGAGATCCGCATCGCCCGTCCCGTGTTGTGAACCCTCTGCCTATACGCATGCCAAACTCATAAATACAAACATCTTCCCTCCCATGAAGTCCGCAGATTCCTTACACTCATTGTGTGCATTGGTAAACGTCTTGGATTGGCAGTCTGCCACCATTTGACATATCCACACTCTGTTACTCTCTTCTGATATACTTCCAGGCCATTCTTTTGCCTAGTCTTTCTCCTTTTTTACATTATCATGCCTCACCTATCTTACTCACTGGCAGCAGCCTCCTTGCTCGTAACATTCATTGTCACCGTTCTTAGTGGTATCTGCTATGCAACCTCAAAAGCATCGCCCGATGTGGCCTCCACTATCCTAAGTGCAGTAAGCTGCATGGCTTTGATTGCCCTTGGTCTACTGCACCACCAAAATATCCAAACGGGCCGCCGACTATGGATATGTTTCGCTGGCGGATATCTACTCATTGCCGCTGCAGCATCTGCCGGAGCAATGGCAACGAGTCCTCAAGCCTCGGTCTTTGTGGTTCGCTCTGTGTTCTGGGCACTATCAGTGTTCGCACAGGGCCTATACTGTGGATTCCTCGCGATGACACTAGCCCAGGAGAAATCCAACCCTCAATGGCCGCGTGCCTACTCACAAGAGGTTCACTCCCAAGAGCTCAAGGATATCCCACAAAGCCCTAATTTTCTCCCACCGCCCCCTCGAGTATGCGACTTGTCCGAGCTATTCGAACCCAAAAGATCCTCACTCCGCAAATTCCCTCGACGGTCCAGCCGCTACTCAGACACAACACTCTGTCCTACAAGCACAAAGGAAGAAAAGAACGTCTGCATCGACACAAGCTCCTCAACACACACTTCACCAAGTCCATCCCCGACACGGGCAGGATGCCAGACACACTCCCAGACCGGGACACTCGCCCCCTCCTCCGAGGCACACACAGCATCCGTAGCATGTCCAGCCTACGCCGCAATCCCCCCAGCTGCACTCCCCTTAGACAGTCGAGTACATCCACCAATGCCCTCGCCAACAGCATCAACAATCCGCATCGACTCCCCAACACAGTCCAGCTCGAACAATCCCACGTGGGAGTATAACCCATTCAGCGAGAACAACATCCACCCTCTCTTCCGCTCAACAAGCCCCTGTCCATCCCCAACCTTTGCCCCGGGCACGATGGTTAAAGCCTCGCCGAGCGCAGGACAAACCATCACGGCGGGGACGATCACACGCATGAGATCTGCTCGCTCCCTCCGCGACCAGGCCATGCGTGCGCCTTCCCCATTGCCTGGGTCGGAGTCGGAGGAGACCATCCGCCCAAGACCGAATCCAACTCTTGATTTTGCGCATTCGCAATCTGTGAAGAGATATGACTTGAACGAATCCCCTTATGAAAAATGATCGATCTACCTCAATACATCGTGATCTGCATGACTTGCAATATTTTCTTTTTTTCTCTTTTTTCGCCTTTTATGTTTCTGTATATGATGACTGGGTATTTGGATATATTCGTGTACATAGGGAATGGATGGGTGGTATGATTGGATATTTTGAAATGAATTTGTTTTTGCACATACTGAACGGGTGGAAGTATATATATTGGGGTAGTTGAGTAGCAATGTGGCTTCAATTACCATTTACATTTTCTAATTGTGTCCGTGGACTGAGTATTCATGGAAGTGTCTCCTTTTTACTCCTGAATTGCTTTGCCATGTTAATTATTCTAGACAGTCCTAGAGTGTGGCGAAAAATGCATTATAGTCATACTATTGTCCTAGCTAGGGATGACGTGGACTAGAGCACCTTGGAGGAAGAGACACATCCCCTTCCGGGATATTTAGAATACTGGTATCTTCCAACTGGGTATATTCAGAATAATAATACATATGTATTCATTAGAGCCAATAGCACTGAGAGTACCCCGTATAGAGTACATTGCAAGATAACCGCAAGCGTTGCTGTCACCGACTCTTAGACTCAAGTGGGTCCGTATATTTTTTTCTGTAGGGGGAAGGGATATAGAAGATAGAAGATAGATTATTATATCAATTGATAGAATATGGATACATATATACGGAAGATAATAAAGTCGAAAAGATAGACAATACCAGCATACTATATATGTAGACACGTAGACTCCTATTCACGTAGGCCAAATACTCCGGTAGTTGAGTGCCGGAAGTGGCTGGGGATCGGAGATACACGTACATGATGTTTGTATCTAGGTAGTCTATACTCTATTGTTCCCAGGCGGAAGTGATAGAATGAATGGAATGTATAGTCTATTCAACGTTGAATGTATAATGTTAAAGGTGTTCTATGCTATTGTGGTTCCCGAGCCTCAGCCGAGTCACGGAAAAGTCGATCTCAATAGACATCGACATGGGTGTAGGCATAGATCAATAGAGCAAAGAAGAATGTAATTTAATAGAATAGAATGAACAATATACCTAGGTGTATATAGTATATAGTATAATGTTATATACGAAAGATCCAAGGTTCAGCTTCTCCCATAATCAACTTGTTTTGACCTTTTCCCTTCTTTTTCTACTTTTTTTCTACTTTCTCGACTCTTTTTTTCCCTTCTCTTCTCATCTTTCTCTTTTAACTTTCCCCTACTTTTTCTAATTTCGACTCTTACTCATTTCCCCATATTCTTCCTTTTTAAACTTCTACTTCTGTCCTGTTTCTACTGTTTCTACTGTTCTTGTTCTCTCTCCCCCCGTTTTCTTTTTAACTTGGCCCCGTTTTCCCCATCCACCCGGTCAAATCCTGCAGTAGATCTCTGCTTTTTCTCTTTTACTTCGCATCTTTTCCCCCATATCCATCGCTTTGGTAAGTTATTTCATGAAGTCTTGAGGTGGTTTTTCCATTTCTTCCCCCTTCCAATCTACACTTTGTTTTCCCCATCTTGTTTTGACTCCCAAAAGAAAACCCTGTCCCCTTGATCTTGGCCTTGGGGTTCTTTGGATCTTTGGGACCTTGTTGAATCTCTGCATCTTTTGTTCTTTCGATCTTCTTGATCTTCTGATCTTCGCGTCTTATTCTCTTCTACTTCGCGCTTTGCCAAGCCTTTTTTTCCCACTGCTCCCAGTGACGTTTCCTTTCTGCATTCTGCATTTGGCAACGCGACTTGTACTTTTTTTTCCCTTTTCTACTACCATTTTCCCCCTTTGAACTGTATTGTGCTTGAAATTCTATTCTACCTTTGATGTATCCTATATTTGATCTATGCTTCAATTTTCCATCTCCCTGATTCCCTCCCCCCTTGCTGGATCAATTTTCCCCGTTCAAAACTGATTTTCCCCAGACCAACAGCGATGGTGGGAAGAAGGAAAAACCGCCCGGCTGCACAGCCTGCTGTCAGGACTCCTAGTATTTCTACGCGTTCTGGGCGCACCGTACAAGGTAGGGTTCATACAGGTTTGCGCCATCGGTCCAATCGCTGACCTGTATAGATCCCATTCCAATTCCCACTACTACTCGTGGAAGAGGTCGAGGCCGAGGACGTGCTCGCGGCCGTGGCCGTGCCAGTCTTCCTGGCCATCTTCCTTCTAATGAATCAAGCGAACCAGAAGTTCGCTCGCACATCCTCAAATTAAAATTTTCATCATTCCAACTAATTCAACCTGCTGATTCCGATGATGTCCCCGATGGGGAAAATGAAAATGGAACCAGTGCGGTCTCACAAGACCCAGAGACCCCGAGCACTCGGCGTCCTCGACATCCTCGGACTGTTCCTGAGTCCTCGCGGACCACCCGGCAGTCAGCAAGACTGAAGCCGGATGGAGATGGCGCCTTCGAAGAAGATGTCTCGCCGACCAAGGTCGTTGACAATCAAAACAACCAGCCAGATGATGACATGGAATCTCACCAGTATGATGAGGAATTCAAGTCCGAACCTCCTTTCGAAAAAGTCTCTCAATCTCCTGAACCTCGCATAGTTGCTTCAGCCCCCGTGTCGCCTGGAGCTAAAGAAAAGACCGAGGACACTCCCGCTGGTCAAAGTCCCAAGATTTCACAGATTGACGAAGCGTCATTCAGTGCAGTGTCTTCACCTCGAATTTCGCGCAAGCGGAAGTCACTCGAATTGCAAAATGGAACCCCGGATGTTGATTCCGAGGACACTATAAACAAAAAGGCCCGAACTGATGAGACTGAAACGTCTCCTGAGGACATTCCTATTCCTTCAGAAGAATTTGACCCCCCTGCTTACGACTCTACCGTTCGAGGAGGCCGTGGCGGTCGAGGAGCCCGTGGCGGCCGGGGTCGAGGACGTGGCCGGGGCCGTGGTCGCGGAGGCCGCGGTGGATTCGTCGGTCCAATTCGACCTACAGCTGTTACCAAGCCTCGAGGTGGTCGAGGACGTGGCCGTGCCAAGGCCACCATTATAAAACGCGGCAAGAAAATCGAAGACGAGATCTGGGACGTCGCCGAAAATTGGCGTGGTCCCACCCCATCGCCTACTCCAGAATCAATGCCAACAAAAACTCGCCAGGAGGAAATGTCCGCGCTTTTTAAGAAGGTTGGCCAGGCCCAGAGTATTGCGCTGAGTTTCATGGCCGATCAGACCATGCACAAGCTTGCTCGCGAGAAAAATGGACACAAAGAATGTCCTGAATTCGAACAAGTCCAGCGGGATCTGGATGAGTACGAACGCAAGGCAATTGAGAGACTGAACAATGAGTACAAGGTGAAAACTGAGATGGAGTCTCGGAAGTATGAGGGCAATGTTCACATTATAAAAGACACTGCAAGGGTAAGTTTGGTCCTATGTCTTATCACTGAAGGATTCTAACTTGTGAAAACAGCTGCTCATCGAGCAAGTCCAAGAGGAGATGGTTACGATGCTTATGGGCAAGATGATGGCCCTGATCCAGGGCCGCAGGGTGGCCGAGGACGATGAACACACCGAGGTACATACTCTTGAAGACTTCCCGAAATCGAATACGCAGCTAATCAGGCTCCAGTATGATACATCGGATTCAGAACAATCCGTGAAGCAATTCCTTTTCCGAGACGGCGAGACGGCGGTAAGACAGGTAGAGCGTGGATTTGCAGCCGATGCAGTTCGAGACCCGGAAGGGGCAGTTGACTTTGTGGCAGCGGAGGAGGGATGGGAGGAATTTGTCCAGAGAGTACGGCTGGGTCGCTTGAACGAGGAGATTGCACCAACAGAAATTACCGACGAAGATGCTCTGCGAACCTACGCCAAGGATGCCTTCGGCAGCATGCTTCATGCAGCCACCTACATCCACGAGCAAGAGGCGAGTGGAAAAGTCGTGGGTTACGATGGTGCCGCTGATTTCCCCGTGCACCCACGGGCACTTTCCATTCTGGCAGACGCAGCTCTGACCGAGCCCGTGCCCCAACATCTTCCAATGATGCGCACCGACCCCGGCACCCACCACCGTGCTCTCCTCCCCCAGCCCACCCACGCCCACCCGGGCCCTCCTCCCTCCTCCCTCCACGGCCACGGGCCAACCGACCCGCGGTCCTTCATCCTCCCACGGCCCACCCCAACCCAGCAGCCGCGGCGCCTTCTCCCCGCCCGCCAGCAGCTGGGTTTCGGGGATGGGCCTGCCGGACCCCGCCCGCAATGAACGGGCCGCCGCAGCTGCCCCCACCCCCGGGCTCGAACTTCGCGCGCCTGCCCCTGCCGGGCTACATGACCCAGGGCCACGCGCCCTCCCTGTACTTCCCGCCGCCGCCGCCGCCCGGGTCGCACCCCCCGCCCCGCCGCGCGGGTACCAGACCCGCCGGCTTGTACCAAGATGTTTGTGTAGCGTTCCCCGCAGTTGATACCAATTCTATATTTTTGTATGTTTAGTACGATGCCCTCCCCCCCTGAGTGGGGATAGTGGGGAGGGCATTAGAACGAATAAATATTTCTCGTTTGAATTTGATTTCTATAATGAAGTGGATGTAATGTAGAAAGTGGTAAGTTGTGAGGCATACATATGAAAGTTGTACATATCAAATTAGATTCAAATAAAGTGAACGTGAGCAGCAAATGAGGAGTAAGAGATATTCAGATGAGACTAAGAAAATATCCAAGTGAGGGAAGCCCTAATAAGAGAAGGCGCCTTTATCAGCCATATTTCATCCTGCCACAATCCCCGTCATATTTCGCTTCTTGTCACCTCTTCTTACCTCTTCTTCCCTCTTTCACTTCTTTTACATATTTTACCCCTTAGACCTGTGAACTGGTCAACGAGCGAGCACACTGTAATCAAAGCGCGTGGATAGCCAAGACCCTGGATAGCAAGGCGAAGATCACCACCCCCCTTCGCATGAGATTTAACTCGCTATTTGACAGAGCGGCACTACAGTTGCCCAAGTATGCCCAAGACCTCTCTCGTCTCTGTCCCACCAACACACTAAATGCAGCACTAAACTGGCTCCCCGAAGGTGGTCATCTTCGGCTACAGTCCATTGAAGCCAGTAAATTTAGAGTACAATCGTCCGGGCAACAAGCCCGACCCTTTTTGCCAGAATTCTCTCTCAAGTCAAAGTGACTCGAAAGTCTCCTTATGTGACACCATCTCCACATCACAGCCGCTATATGGGCTGCAGAGACTTTATGTGAGTTGCAATTCCTTCGAATCGACTCTTTGCCGCGGCATACTGACTTAAACACCAGGTCGCAGTTCATTCATCAATTACAAGATAGGGTAATGTGACATTAACAACCCAAGGCGAAACTGCAGCATTCTATCAGCATTTCAAAATGCGGCATGGAAAAGAGGATATGACCTGGGCCAATCCTGTAGAGCGTGGTATTTTTGCGGATACTTACTCCTAGGTTGTTCTGGCTGATGTGCTTTACCGCTCTAGTTAATTTACGAAGCTGCTAGCTGGCCTCGAATCTGCGATGGCGCCTGCCACGGCGCCGGAGTCTCCTAGGCAACGATCCGTCAGCGCAGCCTCTTTCGAGCTCTCTCATGAATCCGCAGCATCAGAACGCCAAGGTATCGGAAACAGAAAGTGAACTTGAGTACATACGATGCGATTGAACCAGCGTGAGTTTCGACTGCCAAATCTCGCGCCTGGAGAGAACAAGGTCTCAGTCCTATCTTAACTCTACATCTACTAACTCCGAGTAGTGTCTCCAGGGCGTCGTGGCAAGAGCCCTAGGACAATTCTTCCCTCTACGACATGCGGTCTGAGCTGTTCGTGCCAGTTACAGTCAGCATCGATGTCCAGGCGAAACCTCATTATCTCACAACCTGGCAGCAATCGTTCAAAGATTCGAACTTGAAAACAACTTGCATAGCCCCGTCCAATACTGGGTCAGGTCCAGAAGATTGACGTACAACCTCTACGTAACTAAGCCAGTTGGGGGATCAATTCCACCAAGCTTGGTTGTTGTCCCAAAGAGCCTGGCTTCATGAAACAAGGTGCGTTTACCATATGTGGTCATTTTGGCACAGAGCACCAAGCTAACTCCCCAGGTGGTGCGTTTAAGACCCTCGAATCCACATGTATCGTCAAACATCACAAGCACCTATCTGCGACATCCAACCCTCCTGAAGTATCGTCAGAGCCCTGCGGTACTTCTTTTCATCCAACTTCGAATCTGACCTACTTCTTTCATCATACCACGAATTGTCAGTCATCATCAGAAGCTATGTCCACCTACCACCCCGAAGACGAAAGCAAGTCTCCCCTTCTTCGGGGGGACCATCGAGGCGATCTTCTATGTCTTCCACCCCAAGTCCATCCATGACAACTGATGCTGAGGGATTGCGTCAACGTTTGGAGAAGAATAAGAAGGAACTTGTGGAGGTCATAGAGGGGCTTATCCAGCACACCGCAAATGGCGACAAAGACGCCATGTGGGCGTTTTCCTTGCTACAATGGATACCGTGAGAAATTCGCGCGTCGAGGACGACGCTTCGGTCGTCGGGTGGCACCATGTGACACCCTAGTCTCTCCTTAGCTAGTCATAATGAAGACATCTTTCCCCTTCCTAGCTTTTCATGCTTACACGTGAAGTTGCCCCGAACAGATAGAATTCTCAGCTGGGTAAGATGATAAATCCAATATAAGTTTCAGGAGAAGGAAGACAAGGAAGAGAATTTGAAGTTAGATGGAAAGGGAGCATTGTATAGTATTCATTTGGGAAAGGGAAGTATAGAGGTGTGTATGTAGGATGACTAGGGTTGACATGCTGGAGCATCAGCCATGGGTGTTCTAGCCAAGGTCCGTTTTTGTGGCTGTGCATGACTATGACTGATATATGGAATAAAGAATATAATAATGAATAACATGACATGAAGTATACTCCGTAGAATGAATGTAGTCGAATGAATCATCGTCAGGATGAGACAGAATGAGTCAGTAGAAATGAGGTAGCAGTACATAATTTACCATACTGTACACCATAATAGAGAAAGTACCAGTACATTCTATCAACCCACCAACCTCGCCTCTGCGGCTCCGGCGGGGCAAGTTCAGGCGACACTCTGATTGGCCCGAGCTTTTGGTCTTTTTTCAGTTGGATCGCACGTCTCTGCCAATTTATTTATCTCTCGGCTTCATTCTGCAAATCCTAGACTCCATTCTCGATTTTTTTATTCTTTCGAGCACAGTTTCTGTCTCTGTTGCTCCTGCATCTGCTAGCTCCGCGCTTTTCGCTACCCCGCTCCACACCGCACGATTTTTCCCACTCTGCTCTCTGCAACTTCTTCTGATACCCTAACCATTATGGCTGTTCGCGCGCAATTCGAGAACTCTAACGAGTAAGATACTCTAAAGGACGTTGAGAATGTTTGGAACACGGGCTGACGGTTTCTATTTAGGGTCGGTGTTTTCTCTTGCCTGACAAATGCCTACGCTATCGTTGCGGTTGGTGCTTCGGAGAACTTCTACAGGTGTGTTATTCAAACATTCAGAAGGGTATAGGGTTGGGATTTGGGGCTGGCAATGATAGGAATGGTGGGTGGTAAGGCATACCACCGCCAATGCCGTGCCATTCCAAATCTCACTCTCTAACCTCTAACCCAATACAACCCACGAAGTACCCCAACTAACAGTCAACTGCAGTGTCTTCGAATCTGAACTCCAAGATGTCATTCCCATCTGCCACGCAACCATCGCCGGAACCCGCATTGTCGGCCGTCTAATCGTCGGGTGAGTCGGACATAGCCAGTTCAAAACGGACTACCTTTCTGCCAGGAAGGAAACATTTAGCAAGAAAAACGCAAATGCTAATATCTTGCCCTCAGTAACCGCAAAGGTCTTCTCGTCCCCACAACCACCACAGACCAAGAATTGCAACATTTGCGCAACACGCTTCCGGCCGAAGTCAAAATCCAACGCATAGAAGAGCGCCTCTCCGCGCTCGGCAATGTTATTTGCTGCAACGACCATGTTGCAATCGTGCACCCTGATCTGGAGCGTGAGACCGAGGAGATGTGAGTAGCAATCTGGCGTCCGCAACCCAATCCCACCATTCCATTCCACCCCAAACTTTCTTCGTTGCCTTTTTTTTTCTTCTTCGAAAACTGACATATCTCTTTTCACCCAGCATCGCCGACGTCCTCGGTGTAGAAGTTTTCCGTCAAACAGTAGCCGACAACGTCCTCACAGGCTCGTACATGGCCCTCTCGAACCAAGGTGGAATCGTGCACCCCAAGACCTCAATCCGCGACCAGGACGAGCTCTCCTCGCTCCTGCAAGTTCCCCTCGTGGCAGGCAGTGTGAACCGCGGCTCTCCGGTCGTCGGCGCCGGCATGGTCGTCAACGACTGGCTCGCCATCACCGGACTGGACACCACGGCCACCGAGCTGAGCGTTGTCGAGTCTGTGTTCAGACTTGGCGAGATGGCGCCCGGTGGTGCCGGCGGTGCTGGTGTCAATAAGGATAGTATTGTGGAGAGTTTCTACTAGATTTGTTGTCTTTTAGATTGCACTTTCTGGTGAGCTCTTTACGGTACATGGTCCTGTTCTTATTTTCACGCTGGAATGATTTTTTGATTGAAAGTACTGGTATTACTTTTTTTTTTTTTGGCCTGTTCGGCTCTGTCTTCTCTGCTCTGTTCGGTCTGATGGGTCTTTCTTTGGGAGTCTGTAATGCTTATGCTTGCATATACTCGAATGAATTATGCATGATGGATGGAATGTGTAGTATCAAAGATTTAAGATTAATCGAGATATAGATGTTGACACTTGAGAATATCCATCGAAATGGTCTTAGTCTTCTTATATAGCTGTAGATACTTGTCCGTGGGCTATATATCTTCTAAAAAGCTAAAAAGCATGAAGCTTACAGCTCAAGACAGGCTGAATTGATGCAAACTATGATAAGTGGCACTTGGGCTCGGGGGTATTGTCGACAGGCATAGAAAGCAATAGAAAGCAAAAAAAGATAAAATGGCACAAAAAAGAACACGTTAGAAGCAAAAGTAATGCAGGCTGTTGAGATGTCAGTTTCAATCCCTCCATTTTCTTCCAATCCTCTTGCTTTTTTATTCGCTTTTGGGTATTGATAGACAAGCACAAAATAAGACAAGAACCGCAGAAGTTGCTTATACTTGTCCCTCGACACTGATTTGAGGATGCTCCGTTTGTGGGTTATTCTCCGCTTCTATCTCCGTGTTGACGTCAACTCCAACGCCGGAGTCGTCTTTCCGATGTGGAGAGTCATTCCCAGTGTTTCCCATGCTGGTATCACCGTCGGCATCATCTTGAGGAAGATCCGCTGGAGGGGGGCGGAGGAGGAGGCGGTGGAGGTGTAGATTTCTGTCGCTTAGACGGAGAGGAGGCTCCATCTTCAGCACCGTCAACGTTCAGGGTTCCGTTCCGCTTGCGTTTGAGCGATGCGGCGTCATCGTCTTCCAGGGAGAACTCGCAGATGCACCAGCAATGGCTTCATCGTCACCCGTGCTGTGAACTTCGCTTCCGGGGTTCGGGGTAGCGTCCTGTGACTTCTCGGCCTCGAGTTTCTCGCGATCCACGTATTTGGCGGCGGCCTTGCGGAAGAAGGTCTTGCAGTAATTTTTGACGGTTTGCTGGTGCTTCGTGGAGATCTTCGCAGTGGGATCCTTGACGCGATTATTTTTGTAATCGCTTTCAACGAGCTTCTTCGCAGTCTATTAATGGGGAATGTTAGCATAGTTACATTTCATCAGAAGTAGAATCGAAGGTGAGGGTCGGTAATCTTACCTCCTTAGCAAATCGTTTCAAATGATGGTCAGGGATCTTGTGTTTGTACTGATCCACCACCGGCTTGATAAGCGGGAAAAGCTGTGCCGTGTTAGTCCTGGGCCCAGTTATATTCCGTGTTATGCGTGAATACTCACGGTGTTCTCGTAGATTCTCTTCTGTTTCTCCAATGGAAGCTTCCTCCATTTCTCTCCATCTTTATGTCTTCTTTCCGGTTGATCGGCGGAAGGCTGAGGAGTCACGGGTGTAGCAGTTCGGTTCTCGGAAGGTGTGTCTTCCTGGGTGTTCATGATCCCGTCAATGATACTCTGCAATGCCAAATTTTGTTGGTTTTTGGCGGGTTGACCCGGCGCAGGAGTAGCAGGAGTAGCAGGCAAAGTTGGCCGTTCCCATGTTGTTTTGCCTGATGCAGAGTAGTAGTAAACGCGGCCCTCCGCCTCCGCAGTATACCATCCCTCAGGCAAGGGCCGGGGACCACGACGGTTGGGTTGTCTGGACCGCTGAGGACCTCGGTCTCTCCGTTGCGGCGCTGGCCCACGAGGAGCATCGTACACGGGAGATGGAGAGCGGGTAAGAGATCGCTGGCGCTGCTCCTGTCCAGTTTCGCGGCGCTCGAACTGGTTGATTGCTTGCTTCGCGTCCTTGCCGCGTTTCATGCGCGGGATTCGGTATGCGACTTCCAGACCAGCCCAGCTCTCGAGAAGGGCGACTGCTTTCTTCGCGACGCGCTCATCATCGCAGGTCGTCAACGGCCGAATATTCGTCTCAATCTTGGAGTCCTGGATCTTGTTCCGGGTGAGTCGCGGGAAGCCGTCGAGGATGTTCAGGATCTGCAAAACCACGTTCTGGTCTTCCTTCCATTGAGCGAGCTGGGAGTTCAGGATCTGGTATCCGTGCATCCTGACCACGCGATTGCGAACGCGTTCATCGTCACAGCGCTGGATACGACCTAGCAGTTTGACCGCGATCCACTTCTCCTGGCACTGCACAAGAGCCGCCATGACCTTGGTCACACCATCCTCATCCAGCGACTTGGGCTGTACGCTGTCCACATACTCCTCGTCGTCCTCTTCCATCTTCTTCTTCTTTGGGCGCTTCGCCACCACAGTATCCCAGCCATCGGCCTCATCAATGCCGAGAGCCTCGATAGTTGCATTCGATAGCTTGGTCGCACGCTCCGTCTGAGTGCGTCCGCCGATGAATCCTGTGCACATCGGCTCCCCACAATAGCAGGGCTGGGGGTCGGCACCGTATCGGTCAACATTGTAGTTGAAAACCAGCTCCTCGCCGGCCTGAACGGCGCGTTCAGCGAAAATTCCCATACGTAGCTTCTCGCCCACGACCCATTTGTCAACATAGCAGTTGGGATTGCACGAGTGATTGCAGAATCGTCCCAGGTTGCCTCGCTTGGTCGCATCGACAAACTCGCCCTTGTTCAAGGACATAAAGTAGAAGTGCTTGATGCCCTCCTCATCATACTGTCGCATGCGCTTTCGAAATTGCTGCTCTCCCACGACCTCACCAACATATTCGTAAATCAATTCGCCCGGGTCGAGATTCTTTTCCGCGCGCAATCCGAATCCCTTTTTTTCTGTTTTGATAACGGACACCGGGGCAAACTGTCTTTTTTTGAAACCGCTGGTTTTGACAGTCGGGGCCACAACCGCATTCGCCCGCACACTCGATCTTGGTCGCGCGGTTGATACAGTCTGAATCCTCGCCACATGCGATATTTCGACCAATCTTCGGGTCTACAGAGTGGGTCAGCGATATGCTCGCAGACGTTCCATGCCAAAGATGCCAAAGTAGGGGAATGTCCCCTTGGGAATCGGGCAAGAAGACACCGAGGCTACTCGAAAACCAAACTTACCCCACTCTTCAGCGCAATCACATTCCATGGCATGTTCGGTGTAGCCCATGTATTTGTTGGCGTAGATACAGCCGGGGATCTGTTCAAAGGTGGCGAGCGCATCTTGGGTGCTATCCGGCAGGTGCGTGTACAGCGGCGGAGGTCGCGACGCGACCTTCTGCGACGAGCTGCGTGACAGCTTGGGCGGTTGGCCCGGTTCCTGCTTAAGGACGATCTCGCCGATATTTTCCTTCATTGTGTCGGATGCATCGGAGTTGGGGGGAGGACTCCTTTTTTCGGAGGAAGAGGAGATCGAGAGGAGGTACGCGAGTCGCCGTTTTTCAAATGATTGCCGTTTACCGGAGAGTCCCGCTCCATTTGGCAGGCTCTTCAGAGTCCGCGTAGTCATGGGCAGACATGACGACACGGACTACGATGGGAGATATGGAAAGAAAGAGAGAGAGAGAGAGAGAGAGGAAGGGAATGAAAATAGAGCAGAATACGAAGTTGGATGATTCTGCCAGGGTATGCCCTTGGGAATCAAGGGGGTTTCCAGAGCGGTAAAGGGAACAATCTCATTGATAAAAATCTCCTAATTTGACTGAAATCGAAGCTATTGTCATTTTCGCATCTCTCACCGCCTTGAGTCTAGTCTTTATTCTTTGTATAGACCTGACCTGGTTCACCTCGGGTTCACCTGGTAGTTGTATAGTGGTTGTTCACTTCCACCTCAAGAGGCTCATAAGAGTACCTTCGAATAGGCATGGAGAACTCTGATAGAGTAATAGCGTGGGAGAGTGACAATAGTCTTTTCCTCGATCCCAATGTATGTGTTTTAACATTTTATGTGTTGATGATTTCCTTAGACGGGAACTGTGACGGGAACTGTGATAGGAACTGTGACAGGGTTATCATCCAAGGCAGTCAGCATAAAGTGATATAATTGAAAGTGACCGAAAGACCTAAAGACCGAAAGACCTAGAAAGGGGAAAGGCAAGAATGCATGTGTACTGCAAATGAAAGATCCCAAAATCGATTGGAGGAGAGAGCAGGAAAAAGCGCGTCTGCATGTGTTGTCAACGTGGAAGAGTCTGTGCGTCAACATGTTAAGAGGTACTTGGGTACGGAGTAGAGAAATTTATATTTTACAGTATAATAAAGTAATAAATAATATAATAATAAATAATATAATACATATACAATACGGATATACCGAATATAATATGATATATCAAAAGGTATACTTCCTGGTATATATATGCCTCAGGCTATCCTTCTCTGTCATCCCCGTACTTTACTTCTTCACCTCTTCACTTCACTTCACTTCACTTCTTCTCTGTTCTCTTCTCTCCTTCATACATGCCCCTGATCAAACTTGTATTTTACAAACCTCATGGCTGTACCTCGGCGGAGCCCCCCCCTCTCCACTCGGCTCGTCTCTGCCAATCGTCCTGACCCATTTTCATCAGAACCACCTGCATGACAGACGCGCCTTTTACTTTTCCTGTACGATCGCCCACTCTAACCGCCCCTGAGGCTAGCTTCAAACAAAATCATTCTCACAGGATGTCCCAACATCCTGGGCCAGTGTTACCACCTATCAAAATCCACTGTGGGCTCCATCCCACTGTTTACCTGAAAAGGACAAACCACAATCATGCACTAAAATGCCAAAAATAAAAACAAGAAATAAACGCTTCAACTGTCCCTTGGTTCTGGAACTGCCAGGGCCAACCGTTTCCCGAACCAACGATGCAATTCGGCTGAATCTAAGCCTATCTTATACATCCGTATCCTACGCATTACCCTTGAAGACCATACCATATGCCAAAAAAAAAAAAGGTCCCCATCCGTTCGATACCATGCAGCCCCCACTCAATTCAACCCCTCGATTGTACTTTCGGAGGAATCAGAATTCCCAGTCTCCCCGCTTCCCGGTCTTTCTTAGTGGTAATTTTGCCCTTCGAAATTCTTCTGGAAAACATATGAAACTTCCCGGCTGAAACGCCCATTTTCTCTTGATTCTGGTATGCTTGGTACTTTACCATATTCTTCTAGTACTGTAATACTCTCCAGCATTCGTCCCTGCAGCTTTCCTCCCGAACGCTGGTCTCCTGCGCGATCCCGGCTGCTCAAGTCCGTTTGGCCAGAAAATCTTCCTGGAAAAAAATCCCCAAAAAAATAAATTGGGGATTTTGGATGGAGTTTGATTCAACTGCCCTTTTTTCATTTTCTTTGGCTACAAAGCCTCCAATTGTCAAATCATTCGTTTTTCCTCTGTCATCCCTTTTGTTTCGTCTCCGCGTGGGAGGATATGGGGACATAAGAGACCTCCCCTCGTCCCTGCTGGCGCGTGTCTTTCGATTGACTTTTTTTTTTAATTCTTTCTCTCTCACTCTCTTCGCTTTCCCTCTCAAACATAAATGAGGGATCAATTGATCTGAATTGTGTATCACGACCCTGACGATTGCCGTTCGCTGTCCTTTTTCCGGGATCATAATCTGGGAGGCTTTCTTTGTTTTTTGTTTTTTTGCTTTCTTTCACGGCTATATTTCTTTTCTTTTTGGAGGGAAAGGGAAGCCGGCTATAATCCGCTTCCATGGTCTGGATATGTCGAATCCATCTGATAGGCCATGGACCGAGGAGGACAAGGTATGGAGATTCTTTAACTGGACGTGAATTTGATGCTGACCAACCAGTACACTCTACTCACTGAGATCCTCAAGAAAGCTGGATTTCCTTCCAGCTATCTAGTGCGCATGATTAAAGAATATGGTATTACTCCAAGCTGGGAGCATATTCCCCTTCCACAAGGTAATATCGTCCAATTGCCGGCCAAAGAAGGGAAAAAAAGAGAAAGAGAAAAGCTTTGCAGATCAATATCAACATGGCGCTAACACCCCGGTCCAGGTCGTTCACTCAGCTCGTGCAAAACGGCCTATCTCAATATGGTTCAGCAGCCTGTGCACCCTCCACATCCAGTGGCACCGTTTCCACCGCGATCCGATATCACCGGCCCGCCAGCCCCAATGGACCCTAGCACTATGCGCAAGCGGCCATTGTATCCTTCCGACAAACCAATCCCTCGTGCAATCCAGCCAAGGCCACCAGCCAGCACCGCCTCCTACAGCAGCGAAAGCGGAGCATCCGCCCAGCTCTCCCCAAGACTAGATACCGGCCCCGGCGAACCACCCCGTAAACGAGGACGCCCAAGCAAAGCAGAGACCGAGCGACGCAAGCTTCTAGCCGAGGCTCGCGGTGAAACTTACCCAGCCCCTCGACGGTCAGGGTCTGGCAGACTTAAAGTCCCTCCTTCACCAACCAGCCCCGCGGCAGGCCCATCGTCTACACCATGCCCGCCGGCACCCCAAGCATTCCAGGGACCCAAACCAGGCCCAGCCCCAATGCTCTACGACACTTCAGCCATGCGCTCAGCAATTCCACCAGGCCTCGGTCCCGCGTCAAACGATGAGCGCCGCGATATGTCAGCCCGTGGCATGGGCACCAACATGCGTGAACTACCCCGGCCAACAGAGATGGGCCATCCCCTCCCTTCACCACATGCCTTGCAACTAGGGCCCCCAGACGCATTCCCTAGACTCAGCAACCCAGTCGAGCGGCCTTACAGCTTCTCGGCAGACCGGTTCTCCCCGCCAGACAGTGGTCGGCGCGACTCGGTCACTAGTCGATCTGACCAGCCAGGACCGTACTCGGAAGGACGAATGAGCACGACATCAGCCGAGCAAGCTCCACGATGACCATTGATTTTGATATTTTCTTTTTCCACATCGTCATTTTCATTTTCATTTTGATCCCAGTCTGGATTATACTTTCGACTTTTGATTTCAGCCTTTGCTTTTTTTTGAGGCCCAAGCGCCATGAATGAATGATCAAGCCATTGATGAACAATAGACAGCGTTCCCGTGTTGTGTTTATTGTGCGCGGTTTTTCTCCAAGCTCTTCAAGCGACCCCCTTTCACACCTCTGACTTTCCCTCTTCGACAATTCAACACCCCCATGCATGCTTAACCCTCTCATTTCATGCCCGTGCCTGTCAACCTAGGTACTATATACCGAAGGTCAGATAGGCTATAAGATGGGAAATGCTTTTCTTTCCTTCTCTCTGTGACAGTGACCTTCATAAATCCATTGATGCGTCCACGAGTTCCCCCACGTTCGATGAAGATAACGGCTTCCATATTCTTGATATTCGGTTTCCCTATGATTGAATCTTCACGCCATTGCGCCCCCCAAATCAAGCAAGCGAGTCCTTCAACTGCTTTCCTTCTGCTCCTGCTTCCCCCTCGTCTCCTAGGCAAACACAATCTCATATTGTGAAGCCTACTCCAAGCACCATGACAAAAGACGAGACAAGACAAGACCTTTACGCCAATTGATGCCCTCCATGCCTCGCATCTTCTATTCTCTGTCTTGATTTTACGCTTTCTATCTTTCCGTTTTCTCTTTCTCCTTCTCTCTTCAGCCCAGCCCAATGTCTAGCGTGCTATGCATTTGATGACGACGACGATGCATTATGTCTACTGCTAATACATGGCGATGGCGGTTCTTTGAGCCTTTCGATTTTCTTGTCTAAGGCCTGTTTACCTTGTATTTTACTTTACTACACTTCTGATATTTGGTGACATTCTGGTTCCTGTTCTGACACTTTGCTTTTGACTTTACTGTTCATTCCATTCTATCTCGGCTTTCCTTACAGGATAATGTTCTACGTTCTTGCCCTAGTTAATAATGAATTGAGAGTATTCAATCTCACACTATCACTTCGGTCATCGTTCTTCATTATTTATTCCCATGTACCCCGGGCATGGCTTTTGTTAATATAAGCGCACTTGGAGGTCGGATCTTTACTGATATACCAACATAGTTTGTAGCCCGTATGCACTTACAAGATACTTTTACTAGTGCTTATGCACTGGAAAGCGCAGAAATACTTGACTATCAACTTCTCAGACTCAGGCAGTATTCATATTTTTACCTCACTTCGTGTGGGAAATAGAACTGCCAAGCATGTATGAATGGATGGATGGGTATTTGGCCTATTGGCGCGCTGCCACCTTGGATCCCGTCCATCCTCAGTTTGAGTGCCGTTTGATCTCAAGTTACCGGATCCCTACGGGCGATGACCTTTATTTTTATTTGATACTTTCCCAACATTGGAATCTTGGGATGATAACGACGCAAGCTTCAAAGCTGCAATGTCCGGGTTGTTTCCACATGCTCGTATACGTGCCAATACGACACATGCCGAGGTACTCTCAGAGGTTTACTACATTCGACATGTCCGCAGTGTATTTATAAGTCAAAGAAAAGATTATACAGTGAAAACAGCTGTCTCATTCGACGCCTTGAATGAAATATGCTACCTTGAAAGAAATGCTATCTCTACACAAAGAACCTAATGCTCACACAATCCTATCCAAACAACACCTTCCGCCTAGCCTGTCACTCTGCACCATCAGACTTTCCACGAACTCGATCAAGAATTCGCCGCAACTGTGCTTTGGAATCACCATTCCCCTCCGTAGCCGACACCCCCGTCGCCTCTAGAGAAGACGATTCAGGCTCGGGTATAGACTGGGATGGGACCGACAGGCGTTTCGGAGGATGAGGATGAGGCTCGCGGTTCTGCGAATAATCTTTATCTTTCCTTGCATCACCACCCTGTTCCTCTGGCTCCTCAGCCTGCCTTTTCTGCAGAATCTGCGAACGCAGAGCACTGACTGCAGTGCCGAAGCCTGATGGTGTTCTCGACAGAGGAGAAGGAGTGAAGTCGTCATCCCCCATTTGAAGATCCAACTCCTTCTCTTTGGATAGTTTCAGCACTTCGGCGCTGTTTTTCTCAACGAAGCGGGTCAGGTACACCTTCCGGCCGGTATCGCGGTATTTCAGGTTGTTCTTGATGCGGTCTAGTTCCTTCCTGTACGCCGTCTCGTAGATATTGAAATCCGCAGCGCCGGGTGATTCACTGACGAACTGTACCGGCTCGTCATCCTCCATCTGGTCAGAAGGATCCATTGAATGTCCCGGCTCTTGTAAGATGGACGCCGGCTCGTCACCGGGAACAGTGTCCTGCTGCGAGGAGCCGTTGTAGGTAGATGGTCCAATGAAGAGGTAGGGAAACTCCTCCTCCAGCGGATCACGGGCATGCCCCCTCGTCCCCTCCATGCTGCGCTTAGTTCTACTTGAGCTCGCTCGCGAAAGGGGGATATGGGGTGATGCCGACTGGGAGTGGGGTTGAGCTTCGTGGCCGACATCCGGTTGAGCCGTGGACCCCCAGCTGCGGATGGAGCTGGAGTCTTTTCGTTCGGGCTCGAACACGCCGCTGGGCATTTTGCTGTTGCTCGGGCTGTGCTCGGGCTGGGATGAAAAGCTGGCTGAATCGGTAGAACCAATAATTCCGGCATTATCTCGGAATCCGGCGAAAGGGCGCCGGGGGAAGTCCTTACGCACGTCTGAGCCATTGGATTCGTGTGTCTGTAGAGCTGCTCCGACTGTTGGGAAGGGTTCGTCTGGGTCCATTTCCATTGGTGGCTCGACGAGGAAGGCATCGTGGTCTCCGCCCAGGATGCTACCAAATGTACCTTGAATGGGAGATTGTGGTTTTGTGGGATCCGTTAGTCGTTTGAATCTTTGAACGGCTTTCATCTGCGAGCTTTGTTAATGAGCGTTCTACCAGAATGAGGAATGGCAACATACCACGGTCACGAGATGTCCCATTTTTCTTGTAATGGCCGAGTTCATCTCCTCCTCTGTCGGTGGCTCAATGATTTGCGATGTGTTCTCCTCAAATGACAGTAGAGGATCCGTCCCATTCTTCGTTACCCAGGGGTGTTCCTGTTGTATCATATCAGCATTGGCAAGCAGTGTAATTGCGATTGACTCACTCGTAAAGCAAACATGTCGATTCTTTTCTCTGGATCTTTCTCGAGAATCCGTCCTATCAGATCTTTGAATACTTCATCTGACTCATCTTCGTACACCAGGGTATCTCCCCTGATACTATCGTACAGCTCGAAGATGCTCTGCTTCTCAAAGGGCAGCCTTCCATATCGGAGACAATATAGAGTTACTCCCATGGACCAGATATCTGTCGCCCTTCCGGATACATCGCCATGTTTGGCCACGCACAGCTCTGGCGGGAGAAATGCTGGTGACCCAGCTGACTTGCCAGTGAACATGTTTGAATCTTTTTCAAACATTTCCGATACACCAAAGTCGACAACTTTCAGAATGTCGTCGTTGGTCACCAGACAGTTGTCCGGTTTTATATCCCGATGGACAATACCCTGTGAATGCAGGTACTCGATTCCCAAGATCAGATCACGGAACCAACATCGACATTGCTCGTCATCATACGGATCTGCTTTCTCTTCCAGCCCGACCTTCATGACAACACCCTTCTTGCACATTTCCATCACCATGTACAGCGAGTCCTCTGTTGGATCATCCAAGACCTCGATCAATGACACCAGGTTGTTATGGTTCAGTTTCTTCATGATTGCAATTTCCTCCTTGATCAGATATAAAGGATTCTTTGCTGTCTCAGTATCGTCACCGGAAGGATGCCGATGTAATGGCGAGTTGAAATCAGTTCCTCCCCGAATCGGACCTCGCGGTCTTCGCAGCATATGCGACTGCGCACGCTTCCTTAGTCTAGACTTGGAGAATTCTTTGACTGCCTAAATTCACAAATAGTTTATGTGATAGTTAGCATGTTCATTTCCCCAGGCTCATTTCTCGCAGGTTCGTGCTCATACATATTCATTGCCATACTGATCTGCAGCCAGATGAACAGCCCCAAACGATCCACGTCCGATCTCTTGCTTGATCACATATTGGTTGATGCGATGTTCTGCGGTACCGTCATCTTGGCTCGTATAATAGGAGGAGCGGGCGTCCAGTGTTTCCTAGTCCGCGGTATATCAGTTCTCCGAAGCTGTCATAACGGCATTGAGAGACTGACCTTCACCGGACGCCTTGATCTTGGGTTTCGTCGTCGATGCCTCGCATAACTGTCATGGGATGCAGTAGATCTAGTTGGAGATTGGCTGTCAGTATGGTAGATCATATTCAGGAAAAATCAATCTCTTGCAAGTGTTTCATAGTGAGACTCACGCAAATCTGCTCGCCTGGGGCCGCGCATCGTTCATACCCTCCAGTGAGGAGGTAGATGGTTCTGCGGAGATATCCGACATAGGGGTTGCCACATTCCGATCCATTGAAATACACTGATCACCAAGTGTTGGTAGGAGATGTGTGGGGTAATGAGGAAGTTCGAGCGGGGAATTCGACAACGTGCGGGTTGTCAGCCTTACGAGGCCCCCTTTGGCAAGGATTGGACACAAGCGGATAGAATAAAGGATACTAAGCCCTATGTGAAATTTAAGAAAATCCAGTCAAATCGGGAACCCCGAAGAAATTCCAGGCAGCTCCTTTTCTGATATGGGCCTTTTGTTATCGATACCGAACTAATTTCACCGCCCGTCGGCCTTCGGAACTCCCCTGAACATCAACAACAACTTGTTTCAGGTCACATATACACTATGGTCGTCTACTCGTTCTACATCTTTGATCGGCACGGTAAAAAAAAAAATCTCCTGTTATATAAATTATCTTCATATACTAACTTCATCTAGCGGAATGCATTTACAAGCGTCGGTGGCTTCCGCGCCCGACCTCCACCGTGGGGAAGTCGCGGTCTGATACTGTCTCCGGCGCAGCACCGACCGGTCTCGGC